TGGAATTCTATCATGATAAATAATTTATCAGTTGAGCAACTTTCGATATCTTCCTCGGGAACCGAGATAATTGAGTTCAACGTTGACAACTTGGGTGGACTTCTATTAGCGGATTTACGGTAGTTTCAAAAGTTTGTTGAATTATTTTTTCTCGAATCTTGAGTTTAAATTAGTAGAATTTAATTAGGTCAGTTTTTTAAAAACTATGCCAAAAACACGTGCCCCCACTTCCGACGAAACACTGCCACGTGGCGATGCAGAAGCTCTAGCTGCCTGTGGTGGTGGAGCAAGCGTATCCTCTTCGGCAGTCCTCGATTGATCTCTTTTGATTCTCTCCAATTCAGCAGCGGCTCTTTTTTGTCCAGGAGTCTGACCGCCACCTCCAGGCTCATCACGAGCAGCTCGCGATTTTAGGGTTACCTGGAATATTAGGGTCAGTGAGAAAGTGAAGGGATAGAGATGGAGGAGGGGTGTGCAGGGTTATATAGGATGATCCTCTCGGAATACTTACCGCTTGTTTTGGTTTCATTGGATCTGGTCCTTTTTCTTCTTTTGGTGGAATCTCGGTTCGAGATGCTCTTGAGGATGTTGGCCGACTTGGTGGTGCTTCTCTCATTGGGACAATTCCCATATCTTCGTCAACGACAGGACGAGGTCTTGGAGATGCGGATGGACGTGGAGATGATTGTTGGGATGATGGTGGTCGTTCGGCATAAGATTGGGTTGGGGCGGATTCGGCACTGGAAATGGAGATTGGTTTTTTATTTGATAATTTTTTATTTCTATACTTACGCAGTTGGAGCCAATGTGCTCAAGATGTTCGCTTTCTTGGCAACTTGAACTTTTGGCTTCGCTGCTGCAGCAGCAGCTGCGGCATTTACTGGTTGACGGTTTGGAGCGGCATTCTTTCCTGAACATTACAAACCCGCGACTAAGTAAAAATGTTTGATAACGAACCTTCCATAAACTCTTCGGCAGTGAGAGCTGGAATTGTTGATCTGGTATCCGGGTAGAGATCGTGCTGGAATTTTTTTTTATCAAGTAGGTCATTCATTTTCCCAAGATTACCTGAAACAAATCAGACTTTCTCGGAACAAAGAACTGAAGAATGTCTACAACTCCTTTAGTGGTCAATTTATAGATTCTGTTGATTTCATTCTCTTCAGAAGACATTCCACGTTTCGACTGGAATCCGATGGCTCTCTGTGGTTCATTTGTGGTATAGGTATTGATGTAATGAACGAATGGAGCCTCGTTATTCACTTCGTAATATCGAATGGCACAATCTCCTTTTCCAATCAAATAAACAAGTCCAGAATCTTCATCATAAAATGGGAAGAGTACTCCGTTGGAAGTGTCCAGTTCTTCTTCAACAATCGGAGTGGAAAGGTCTTCTGGAGCACGAAGAGCATAAAGTCTTTCAGATCTTTTTGTGAATCCAGTGGTCATGATAAGACCGTCTTTCACGAAAATCGCTCTCTGTGGTTTGACACCTTCGTGTCCGGTTCCTTCGTGAAGAACTTCTCCGGTATGGGAATCGAGGATACGGATCTTCTTGTCTTTGCAAGTGGTTACGAATTGACTTCCATCGTAATTGAAATTAATGCTCCAAATTTGATCTGGATGACCGGAGATTTCGAGAAGAGCTTCTCCAGTTCCAACATTCCACATGAACATCACATTCTCACCGCCTGAAAAAATATTTTCTAGTAAGTTTCATAATCTCAGAATCAAAAGTTCGAAATTTCGGAGAATCAGAGTTTCAAAATTTTACAATTTCAGAATTTCAAATTTTCAAAATTTTCAAATCTCAGAATATCAGAATTTCAGTTTTTTTCAGATTTGTAGATTTTTGCAATTTCAGATTTTCAGAATTTCAAAATCTCAGAATCTCAAAATCTAAGAATCGCAGAATCTCAAAATCTAAGAATCGCAGAATCTCAGAATCTCAGAATCTAAGAATCGCAGAATCTCAGAATCTAAGAATCGCAGAATCTCAGAATCTAAGAATCGCAGAATCTCAGAATCTCAGAATCTCAGAATCTCAGAATCTCAGAATCTCAGAATCTCAGAATCTCAGAATCTCAGAATCTCAGAATCTCAGAATCTCAGAATCTCAGAATCTCAGAATCTCAGAATCTCAGAATCTCAGAATCTCAGAATCTCAGAATCTCAGAATCTCAGAATCTCAGAATCTCAGAATCTCAGAATCTCAGAATCTCAGAATCTCAGAATCTCAGAATCTCAGAATCTCAGAATCTCAGAATCTCAGAATCTCAGAATCTCAGAATCTCAGAATCTCAGAATCTCAGAATCTCAGAATCTCAGAATCTCAGAATCTCAGAATCTCAGAATTTCAGCGTCTCAGGATTTCAGAATTTCAGCGTCTCAGGATTTCAGAATTTCTAAATTTCAGAATCTCAGAATCTCAGAATTTCAAGATTACAAATTTGCAGATTTTTTGACTTTCGAAATTTCAAAATTTCAGAATCTCAGAATCTCAGAATCTCAAAAGTTTGTAATTTCAGAATTTCAGAATCTCAGAATCTCAGAATCTCAGAATTTCAGCGTCTCAGGATTTCAGAATTTCAGCGTCTCAGGATTTCAGAATTCCTAAATTTCAGAATCTCAGAATCTCAGAATTTCAATATTACAAATTTGCAGATTTTTTGACTTTCGAAATTTCAAAATTTCAGAATCTCAGAATCTCAGAATCTCAAAAGTTTGTAATTTCAGAATTTCAGAGTTTCAGAGTCTCAGGATTTCAAAATTTCGGATTTTTAGAATTTCAGAATTTCTAAATTTCAGAATTTCGGATTTTCAGGTTTTTCGAATTTCAGAATCTCAGAATTTCAGAATATTCGTTTTTCAAAATCTAAAAAGTTCGAAATTTCAGATTTTCAGAGTTTCCCTTTTTCCGATTTTTAGATATTCAGAATTTTAGATTTGTAGATTTTCGCAATTTTAGAATTTCAGAATCTCATAATTTCATGAAATTACAGATTGATCTCATTTTTCTGATATTTTTCAATGAAAATTTCATTCCGAACCAGTTTTTGGCATTTTCCAAATTCCGGCTATTTTTTTCGTTCCGAAAATTCTATAACTGACAGTTCTTTTCCCTTATGTAAATATCAATTTTTATAGTTTACAATTTTTCAGCGGTTTCTTCCTAAGAAAAATGTCCAGTCCCCATAAATTACCAGCAGTAAGAAGAACATTATTGGCGACCGGATGCCATGCAATGGTGTTAACTCTCTTCTGATGTCCGGTCAACTCAACAGCTGGCTCCGAGAGATTTCTGCTCAATCCTCGATCCGGAATCACCCAGACTTTACAAGTTGTATCTTCGGAACACGACGCAATCACATTGTCATTGAAAGGACTCCATGCAACTTCAAGGCACGGCGCTTTGTGAGCATCAACAAATGGGTAGTCCTTGTCAATACGGCCAATCTGAAAAAAGAAACATTATCATCAATAATGTTCACTTTTTTTGTGTTCAATGACCCCTTAGATAACTGGTGTTGTGACGAAAAGAAGAAAAAACAAAAATAAGAAAAACTGGGGAAGGAAGAAAAGAATAACAAGCACACATGTCGTTAGTGGAAGCATATGTGGGAGTAAAAGATTAGAAATGGATACCTTATTGACTGGAATAACCATGAATGGACCACCGGCACCGCGATTGATGAATGCGATGAATTTGGGATTGACATCGCAGAACAGAGAGTCCCAAGTGATTTCTGTTACCTGGAAGTATTAAAATTAAAATTTGAAAGGCTAATGTCTATTGGCTTAATATTGAATTTGGGATCTATAATATTTCAATGAAGATAATAATTTATCTTTTTATCAGAAAAAAAATAATAAAATTTGTGTCCTTTTGTCAATCAGAAACAGTGAAAATCGATGTTCAGTTTCTCTTGAAGTTTGAATAAAAAATCCGTCCACTTTGAACTAATTTATCTCGGTTTCTGAAACAGATATCACAAATTTTTGTTAGTTGGCCACATTTTGATATCTTTTACAGGAGAAAAGATATATAAACTCAAAGTTAAGAGGTCTGGAGCCGACCGCATAGCTCAGCTTGTAAGCGTTGACTTTTCAACTTTGAGCCCTTATATCTCATTTCCTGTAAAAGATATAAAAGAGTGGTCAACTGACAAAATATTTTTAAAACTATGAAAAACATGTTATCGATTGACAAAATTTTGATATCTCGCATAGGCATTGAGATAATTAAGCTTACACTTGACAGTGTGGGGAGTCTTTTATTATTGGTTTTACGGTTTTTAAAACGACAGACAATTAAAAAATTTATTTGTTTGATCAATGATCCAAAATGCGTTATAAATTTGAAAAACATATACTGAGAAAGGTAATTTTTCAGGTATAGTAGGATTACTGTAGTTTTTGAAGTTTTGAGTCCCATCCAAAATTCATGTGGTTTTTAAAAAAAGTCAATCACCAAACTCTTTTCTTGATCCTAACATCAGAATTTTTATATTGATCCTAATACTTTGAGAATATTTGCATCCATAAATTACATCTGATTCTCTTTAAAAGTTCAAATCGAACTAACATACCCTAATATCAGACATACAACTTTCATGTTTGACTGGTTTACAGAATACATGCCGAAATTTACTCTGTCTCACAATTTGAGCCATTTTCCCAACCTGAAAATGATTCAAAATTCAAGATCAAAATTCGAATATTGCAACTTCCAGTTCGAAATTTTCGAAAAAAAGATAAAATCGAAACGACAAGAGAGTTTGAGGAGTAAATATGCAAGGATTTGCGGGTGCCCGAGATGCTCTCTCCCGCGGGCAGCGACTCCTGCTGCTGCTCTACGCCCCAACTCTCTCTCCGAGCTTCCGATGCTCTATTACCCTTCAGTTGCCCCCATCTCCTTCCCGTGTTACACTGCTTTTTTGTTGGCTCCCGTCGGCAGATTTCAACTGTCGTCTGCGTATATTACGTCTAGATATATATTGTTTAGTTGAAATCCTCAATTCCTCCCGGGAGAAGCTTTGGCAAATCCGTTGATAACGAGAGGAGAGAGCCAAAGGGAGATGAAGAACACCCACTAGCATAAACACACAG